TTTTCTTTGAACTAGAAAACCCTGAGTAAATGTCACAATGTTTACACCTTATAACAAAATTTGAGCACAAACCATATCCTGAATCCTCAGAAAGCAGTAAACCTTCTTGGAAACATCTTGGGCAACAAAGTTGTAAAAAAACATTTAAGAGGACTTCAATATCCATAATTCTGTTTCCAGTAAGTGTTTTATGCTCTTACTCTGCCATTTCTTCATCAAAAAGAGACAGCATTTTTTGATATTTGAAGAACTGGCGTTGGGGTGGATGTTGAGCTACAATTTTTGGAATGTTTATTAGTTACCACGATGGGATCCATTACCACGAAATTGTCGTTTTTTCTTTGCACTAATTCTACGTTTAGCATTGCCCATTTTAAATGAAAAAATTAAAATTCTCAGCTATAAAAAAGGATTTAACATAAACTTCTAAAGAGCTGCGCAATCGTAAGCAAATGTAAGCAAACAATAACACATCCTCTTTTCCTGCCAGATTCTGGATAAAAATATTAGTAAAAACCTGTTGCCAATTATATTTTTGAAGATTCTGAAAACTCAAATTCATCTTTTAAAGTGTATAAATTTTCTACTATTGCATATTTAAACAATACTTTGTAAAATAAAAATGTAAACAAACATTTTTTTCAACTTCCGGAATGTAGACTTGTACTTCCGGTTTCAAAAAGTAGCCACCGAGTAAAATTCAAACCCCCATAACTTAAGTTCTAAATAAGATAGAAACAAATTTTAAGCACCATTTTAAAGAAAAAAGTTCACAATTTAAAATAACATCAAAATTCCAAAATCGAAAATTTTGACTAAAATGACATTTTTTAAGGTGTACGGATACCTTAAGTTTTCATGATAGAAGACACTGATGATCGTGTGCGTGTTTCATTTTGTAGAAGTCCTGGTAAGTCTATTAGGCAAGCCAATAACGACCTTCCATTTTGTTCGAACACGACTCTGTACAAGCATGACTGATTTAAATTCTGTTAATCAAAGTACACACTGCACTTTTTGATGTGGGGACCAAATCTTTACTAATGAACATGTAACAAGTTCATCGCCTTCAATTTCCGTAAAATGCGCCCACGTGCGGCCGATAGGACAACACCCAAAAAATTTCGGTGGGGTTTCCAATCCATGGATGAACAATTTATTACATTCTGATGGGTAGATCTGTGATAACAACCCTTAACTTTTGGATACCCTATGACCGGTAACCCTGTATAATATTGAAATATACGCGATGTATTTTTGTTAGCACACAAAATGGTAAAATGTTCGACAAAGAAAATACTGTGCAGCACACAGCACAAGTATTTGAGCAGCATTCATTTGAAGACGATAGCTATCGAAATAGTGTTGAAACAAGAAAAGCCAAAAAATGAGCCAAGTGTAAAATGTCTACATTTGTTGGAGGAAAAGTTCTTTTCAAGCTATATATTTTAAAACAGACTTTCAAATCCCACCAGAAAATCCAACCATAAATCAAAGATCCAGAAAATAACTATACTTGTGTTTCTTTATTTTCCTGGTACGAAAATAAACTATTCTTGAAACGAATTTAACAAGAGATGAGAAATCGTTCTTTAGTGCAACACATTGACGGATTGTGTATGTCTTCGACGCTCAGCAGATAGATGTCGACATCAAAACTTCCCAAGATGGTTTCGTTTGATGAGTGGTGGGAAGTGCACAGATTCATGGAACGTCTTTCCATCTAATTAAACCATTATTGCTTCCTTCTACTGTCTTCAGATCTGCCCTGTAGAGTGACTTATGAACGAGGCCCAAAATCGCCAGTTTTTGATCATGCTGGGGCCACGATGTACAGCACCGCCCACATGGCCAGCCCTGACCATATAGTTCGCTTTTTCTATATTAAAAAAACTTAAAATGCAGAAAAAAATTTTAAAAACATTATCAACTAGAAACACACGTACTTTTCTCACTAATCAAACATCTGAAAGTAAACTGTGTAAAAATAATCCCATGAAACCAGAACAACAACAAAAAATTGAAGAACAAGATGCACATTACCTAAAATTTTAAACGTTACAAGTTAATTAAATTTAAGTTGACCAATGGTAAAAAATGCAGAAAAATTCAGACTTTGTGAAAGTATGTAATTATCATTGTAATCAATTATTTCAATAGCCAAAGAACCTCTACATTTTTTTCAAAAAATTTATTTCCTCTATTTCACTCTTTGATTCGTTCATCATTTTAGATAAATCTCAATCTCACTTAAATATTTCACTATTTCTGTCATACTGAATGAAATAAAACTGATCCAAAGCATACAAAATACTTGGATCTCTTTTTCCCCACATTCTCAAAATATAAACACAAAAATCCGTATAACAATAGATCACGAACATTCAAGTGTCAAATTCTTTCGAAAGAACTAAACACCTGCAGTTGTTTATAGTCATTAATATCTCGGTTCAAATTTTTAAAATACTTGGAACCGAAAACATACATAAAAGGCCAACCACAATTACATATAATATATGAGGACAACACTAATTGCTATACGACTCAAATCGTAAATAATCATCAGGGTTGCAATATCGGTATAAGATTTTTCCGTTGTACATTGAACTTATAACTGGAGTCCATCAGCTTTGGCCCTTGGCGGTCGCTAGTTCCGCCAGAAGCTTAATCCGACTCTGGTGTTACCTCACTTTCCCTGTTATCTGTGTACGCCCTCTGATTATCAGTTTGTATTACATACATATACCAACTTTTCCGGTCCAGAAGTCGTTGATATTCTTCTCGGTGTGAAAATTGCCCTTTCAAATATTATTTTGCACATTAAACATCAGATTAAACATTCCTCCACTACAAAAAAAATTGGCAAAAAGTCATAGCTAGTGCGAATATGCTCATTCTACATACATTATGAGTTAGCTAGCTACACAACTATTTCTGAAAAATAGATCGGACTTTTGCACTTATCTAATATTTTTTTATAGTTACATGATTAATATTTATTTATGCAATATTTTTTTTTATTCCTTCTATTTTTATATACAGTCCACTCTCGATAATTCAAACCTTCGATGACATGAACCTCTCGATAATTCGAAGTATATACTCAGTCCCTAGAAAAAATCTTGATATTTCGAACTAAATCAATACGTTTTGGTACACTCAATATTTCGAAGTAAAATCTGTGGCTGACCAGACTACAATACGCTATAATTGGAAGTCATCTTATAAAACTTTCGAAAATTCGAATACTCACTAACATGTGCAGTCATGTAATAAACAGATTGGAGCTTAGGTTACAAGTTTAGCGTTGTGTTGTCTCTGCGTGTCTTCCCTGTAACGTAGCCCCTTTGATCACCATTTGTCTGCTACCACTTTATAGTGTTTTCCGGTTCCTCAGGTAAATGACACTTTTATTGTTTTCATTACTTTAAGTGGACAATAGACCAACCGCACCTGTTGTCAGCCGTCCATATCTTTCGTTTAACGCGGGACCTTGCTACACATGTTTTCAGAAAGGATGGTTCACTATTGTGAAAAAGAGATGCGTAGGATTGTGTATGAATGTATTCTCTTAAAACAGGACTTTTAACTTCTGTAAAATATTCATATTGTATAATATGCACTTCTGAAAAATACTTTAAAATAATTTTATACATATGTAAAAAATTGTAGTTTTATTGCATAGTTTCCGATTTCAATGTGTTATTTCTCTTTGTGTAGTTGAGGAATTTTTTCTACCCTTTTGTAAATTTGAACTCTTGATAGTTCGAAGTTTTTGTTGGTCCCTCCAACTTCGAATTATCAAGAGTCGACTATATAACATGAAATATATCCCGTGTGTTATGTATAATTTGCTTTCCAAAATGTGACTCGTGGAAATTTCCCAAAGTGAGTGAGTGAATATTAACGTCGCACTGATTAGCAACACGAGGGCTTTTGGCGACGGTCCGCGTCATTTTGAACCATGGTCAAGTGACGCGGACGACACCTGAGCTGGCACCCCCTCTCCTAACTACCACACCAACGGGAGGACGTTTGAGCTCTCGACAGATTTAACGTGCATCGCGCCCCTACACGGCGGATCTTTGGTGGTACTAGGATCGAACCCATGACATGCTAGCCATGATCCGATGCCTAGACCACTCGGCCACCGCGGCCGCGGAAATTTCCCAAAATTTCACACTTTATGATGACGTATCCAAAATCTAATCCATTTCGCTTTTTTAAACTGATAAACATAAAAGTCCGAAATTTTGCTTCGTGCTGATCTCATCAAAATCAACACTAGAGTTTATACTAAAATCTTCTTTTTCTTTATAATTCTGTGCTGGCTGAATGGATTGAACTAACCTAGATGAGAATTATAAGCTATATCTTAAACTTTTCTAAGCCACATCTTGATGTGCAATAATGTATAAATAGTATTTTGAACATACTGAAAACTATGAAATATCGAAAAGTTTTTCAATTGTATGTTTAAACCTCTTTTTATTTTGGAATCTACAGATAGCGTGTAAGCTTTATATTTCAAACTCAAATACACCATTCTAACATAATTTACACATTGTGACCATGTCGGGCTCTAATTTCGAATAGTGAAATGACTGTCATAGCTTTGCTAATGCCTAGTAGCTTAAAAATACTAAAGTATAAAAAAATAAAGTGGAAAGTATACCAGTTACAAAGAGTTAAACTGTTAATATAACTAATCATATTATTATGAAAAAAATAAGTCTATTCCTACTTAGGTCAAGAAAGAAAAATTTTATTTTAGTTAATTTTAATTAAATAGTTACAATTAATATAGATATGTATATACATAGGACAGAATCTCAATATTAAGATGCAGAAAGCGATTTTCCTTGCAATTTTTCCATTTTCCTAAATATATATGGTGTTAGACTATTTTTGTTTGTTTGTTACTATTTATTCATTAATTAAATTTAACTATTCTAATAAAATAATATCGTGAAAATAAATCTCATTCTCAGAAATTAGGTTATCTCAGGTGGGATTCGAACCCACGACCTATGAATTAGAAGTCCATTACGCTACAGTGATGCAACAAACGATTATCTTTTCTATATATGCTATTAAGTTATACTTTTTTGTTTGTGTTGCTATTTATTCATTTTTTAATTTAATTAATGAACTTATTTTTGAGAAAACTGTATTAACATCAAGTGTCATCCACTACAAGTTTAAGAACATGTATTTGAACTTGAATGGATGAATAGAAAATATTTTATTAACGATTGAAAATCTGAATATATATAGTTGTTGTTACTAATGACACCTGTCTGACCCTGTCAGATCGAGGCCAATAAAATTCATCGTGGCTGTGGGGCCTGTCGTTAGCTGTAGATTTGAACACCATGCAAGTGACAGTACGTTTTGTTTCTATTTCACTCCAATTTTGAGGGAAAACGTCTTAGGGAGCTAGGGCCTCCCACCTCTCTTCCTCTTCCACCAACATCACGAGAGGATCTGCGGCTCTACGGCTATTTAGAGTACCTTTATGCTACAAAGGCACTATACATTTACAAATTTCCATATCTCCCGGATTCGAACCCAGGTCCTACCGTACAGCAGTCAGCGTCGCTAACCACTAAACTGAATGGGCGGCTAAATAAATATATATAAGGAGAGAGTGAACTATAGTAGGAATTGAAAAATAGGTAGTAAAGTCCAAAAATACATCCAATGATGGTAGAAAATAAATCCAAGGGGTAAATGGGGTGTGACATTCTTAATTCGTAAGCAGCAAAGATGTCCAAGTTGAAATCGAAAGCGAGAGTAAGCTTACGAATGACAGGACGCAATCTGATAGGTCATCACAAACGGCCGGTTGAGAAGCTCCAAGATCAGATTTTCCGCTCGAAAAAATCAGTAGAAATGACAAAATTTTAGGGAATTTCAGTATAAAATAAAAAAATTGGAGAAGTAAAAATTTTTCTCAAAGGAAAAAAGGGTTCAAAAGTAAATTTAAAATGAGTTATAACATATTATAAGTAAAATAAGAACCTAAAATATATTGAATAAATAATTATACTTCCTATGCAGTTTTCTTTTCAAAGTTGTAAGTAAATAAAGAAGAAACCACCGGATTTTAATTTAAATTAAAAATAATTATATTTTTATAGCTTAAAAAACTGTAATTAAATCATTAAAATATTACAATCAGTAGAAATATTAAAAGTCGACATTTGAGGGAAAAAATTCAAGAGAAATCTTCTAGTAAAAATTATTATGGATAACATCTTTCAAAAATAAAGTATAAAATACTTGAAATAGTACAAGCAAACCTTTAATATACCGTACATTAGTAAAGGAAGCTTTAGTTGTTAAACACAAGTCTAAAATTGGGTTGATCGCAGAATAAATATGAAAATTAAGCCCAATTAACTTCGAACACACTAAAATAAACTGTATAATGGCTACTTACAAGTTCTTTCTACTAGTTTACGTACAGTACTTAAAAAATCTATTTTAATTTAATCTCTTTCACTCATTTAGTCAATGATTACAAATATTATTTATTTTAGGTTTTATGAAAGGATATTTTAGTGATATTCAAAGAAGTACTCGCTTGTATTGACCAGTTATAATGAAAAAAGTCCTTAGATAATTAGAAAAGGAAAATATCATTCCTATGTTTAAAAGTTTCTGATCTACAGAAAATTCTTTCTATTCCACGCACAAACTATTCAAAGGTCAATTTCAATACCATCTTTTTAAAAATAAGGTGTGTGGAGGGGGTCTTGTCCACAAAAAATACAGGGTATCCTCTCTGAATGACCGAGGAATATTCCAACAAGTATGTCGTTAGTTGGATTTTTTTTTCAGCTTTATTTTTTTATCATTCAAGTGACTTACGAAAAAATGTTGGAATACAATAAAACACAAGAATTCTATTTATTAATGCGTATATAGTTATTATATAAAATATGAAATATATATATATATATATATATATATATATCTTGTTTAAAAAATTTTAATGGTAAATAAAAAATTTTATATTCGTCCATTTAAGCTCAAATACATTTTCTTACACTTGTTTAGGAGAACACTTTATAACAAACCTACTTCCCTTCTACCCCGTGACGCAGCTAAAAGTGTGGAAGGGGAAGAGAAGGATAATTCGACATGATAATTTCCAATTATTTTATTTAGCATTTTAATCCACTCAAACACAATTCAATGCAACACTTGTAAATAGGATGATCCAGTCAGACAGCAGAGGGAAGGGACGAGAGTCGCTGTTTGGGAGAATACATTTACTAAACTATACACTCAAGAGCCAAAACATTATGACCACTTGTCAATAGCGAGTTGACCCACCTTTGGCACGCAACACAGCTTCAACCCGACTTGGCATGGATGCCACAAGTCCTTGGTAGATGGCCGGAGACATATTGTACCAAATGTTTAAGCGACGGAGATATTGCGAATGGGTGGTCTTTGAACGCTGAGCTGCCTTCCCATGACATCCCTTTTTTATTAGATTGAGATCCGGTATATTAGGTGGCCAGGACATTAACTGGAATTCAGCATCATGTTCCTGAAACCACTCCAACACAATTTTAGCCTTGTGACACGGGGCGTTGTCCTGTTGGAACATTCCATTTCCAGCTGGAAAAACAGAGGCTATGTAAGGGTACAACTGGTCCACAATGATGTTCAGATACCCTGTAGCATTCATGGTCTGCTCTACCACAACCACGGGTCCCAGAGACGCCCAAGAGAACGTTTCCCAAAGCATAATACCGCCACCACCGGCCTGTGTATGACCTACTGTAAATTGAGGGAGCAACTGTTCGCCTGGAAGACGGCGTATCCTGACACGGCCATCGGCGTGATGAATGACAAACCATGATTCATCTTACCAAGCAACTCTCTCCCACTGATCCATGGACCAATCGCGATGTTCCCGGGCCCAGCGCACTCGCAATTGGCGATGATGCTTGGTCAGCAAAGGTATACGAGTGGGACGTTTGCTGCGTAGCCCCACATCCAACAGTGTCCGCTGAACAGTGTGCTCCGATACTATTTTACTTGACCCTGCATTGTATTGGGCTGTCAGCTGAGCCACTCTCTGGCTCCGGTTTTGCTTCACCATGCGAGACAGTCTCCGACGACCTTTTCCTTTGATAGTGTGTGGACGTCCAACACCATGTTATCTATTGATGGTTTCACCGTCATTCATCCATCCACTTTGCATAAGTACTAACAACTATAGATCACAAACAAGCCACGAGTCGAGCAGTTTCGGAAGTACTTGTTCCGAGTCTTCGAGCCATTACAATCTGCCCTCTATCAAAGTCGCTTAGATCCACAGCCTTTCCCATCACACGCAGAAGTAAGTGAAAGAATGATTCTTCAGACTCTCCAGCAGCAGTAAAATACCACTTTCACCTGATCACGTGCCTTCCACGTCATCCAGGCGCGTTTATTGCAAAATGTAGGGGTGGTTGTAATGTTTTGCCTCTTGAGTTTCTAACAATAGTTCCTCCTTAATATTACTTAACACCGTAGATATGTAACTAATGTTTGCTTAGCCACTTTAATACTTTAAATATCTACGCAATAGGAAGGTGACAATACCTGAACTTAGGCAGTCTTCTATAATCAATTTAATTTATCAATCACAACTTCCTATCTTTATACAAGGGCTTTCTAACCATTCGATAATGTTCATCTTGTATTTCTCTTGTCACCTTTAGTTACTAAACTTTTAACCTTCTAACTTTCTGCCATCTAATCTCTTCTTCACTCCTAACTCACTAACTTCTTTTAACTCGCGAACTAGAACTATATATAATGAACTTAATTTGCATATCACGCTTCCTTCTTAGGTGAAGATTGATGAATTTTGCTGGCCTTAAAGAATACCCAAGAGGATTATTAGTAGAAGGTCGGGTATAGATCCGTCACAAATTGATGTTAATACAGTTTCCTCAAATATTAATTTATTAATTAAATTTTAAAAAAAGAAGAAATGGTTACAAACAAAAATAATAGTCCAACAGCATATATAGAAAGGAAAATCGTGCGTTGTGTCCCTGTAGCGCAGTGGATGCCTCGTTTGACTTCTAATCCAAAGGTGGTGGGTTCGAATCCCATTTGAGGTGACCTAACTGCTGAGAATGTGATTTTAATTTTACTATATTATTTTATTAGAATAATTAAACTTAATTAACTAATAATTTGTAGCAAAAAAAAAAAGTCCAGCCTCATATATATGAAGGAAAATAGAAAATTGCACGGAAATTCGCTTTCTATTTTGTCACATAAAATTGTGATTCTGTCTCATGTACATGCATTTTTTTATTTAATTTTTTTTTGAATAAAAATTATCTAAAATAAAAAATTTCTTTGCTAACCTAAGTAGGAATTGACTTAATTTTTTTATACTACTTGTTACTTACTATTTTTGTTTAGTTAGTGACATGCCAAGTTTGACAGTGGTAGCTGAGTGGTCATGATCGCGAACTCGTGGCTGGTGAGTTGTGACTTCAAGTCCTGGTGGACTGGAGACCCGCCGTGTATAGGAGACGACGCACATTAAATAAGTCATTGTTGAAAACCCTCACATTGATATGGTGTAGGCTAGGGATCGGCAATCTTTTAACTGTGGCGTGCCAAACCAATCTACCAATATGATTCAGCGTGCCTCGCAGTGGAATATTTTTAATCCAATTCGATTTCCGCGATAATGCATGCAGAATTAGAGAATGATAGTCAATTATGTAGATTTATAGTTTTATAATATATTAATTTTGCATCATTTAAGGATACTTTTTAACATAAAAATAAACAGCATAAGATATAGTTATTTCTTCTACAAAAATATAAAATTAAAACTCTACATATAGTATGTATTTTTAAACATATTTATTAAAGTAAGAAATATACAACATAAATTATAAGCATTCCCTTCATTATAGATAAATAAAGAGATAAATAAACATTTTAATGCCAACTGAGTGCTTGCACCACTCCACCACTCTACTTTCATATTGCAAAATTAAGAGTATAATTTGTGACTTTCAATTTGAAACGATTTTGAG